AGACTTATCTTTTAATATTTCACATTATTATAGCCATACATATAACTCGGATCTAAACCAGTCATTATTTTTATTATTCGAGCTGTACGAGCCATATGCATCAATCCATCAAATTATCCACACACTTGGTCAGAATTATAAAAACTTAACCCGTCGTATACAAACATCGGACAATGGGTCGAACAGGCCCCGTCTACCTGTAAAATAATAGCTTCGCACTTTATTAGCATAATAATAGCGTTAGAACTATTATTTTCGGCATATTGGCTAACAAATGGACAGCTGCGGGCCATTTTTTCACTTAGGGTCATTGTCCACCGGAATTTGGGCGACGATGCGTTCAAAGGTCACCCTTTTGGACGACTTCCGAAACAATAGACAAAATAGGATACGCTTTAGATATGAACGCGGGACTTGGGACACACACACACACATGTAGTAATAATAATATTATATATAAAATTATTAACTGATTATTATCATTATTAATAAAACCAATATTGATCTTTCAAATATGTTATATGCAATAAGAAACATAATAAGTAATTTATAGTTATAATAGAAAGTATATATTACTTAATTGAAAAATTCATTAAATTAAGATAGAATATGTCATATACATATAGTATTGTAACATCTTGTGTGTCCGCGATACCGTCGCGGGTAATAACAGGTAATCAAAGGGTTAGTTCCCGGTTAGACGAAAAAAATAGAAAGGGTTGATTCACAGTTAGAGATTTATATGTATTGTGTTACATCGTTTTTGTTGAACTAACGGTCAATCATTGAACACTGTTAAATAATATTTTAACTACTGTTTGTTTATCAAAATAATAATTTTGCAATTAAATTTTATGTAATAATAGTTATTAATATTTTGAATCTGTATAACTTTGACAGTACAATAGCATTTCAAAGTTGGCGTTGTCTGCAATTTAAATTTTTAAAATCATCGCCGATTCAGAATGTCGTCTACGAATTAAAACTAGACCGATGAATAAAAATAATATCTGGACTGAGACTCGGTCTACAGACACCAGGGCTGGGAGAATATAGTATTATTATAATACATATATTAAATATACGTACTATAAATATATTATGATTTAAGCATTCATATGAATTGAATCTAATATTTTCGGATTATTACGCGTTTTTATATTATCTTAAAAACTACACACTCCCAACATTTCATTTACTTTGCAACAACAATAAAATAACGAATAATCCGTATATATTAGTTTCATTTAAATGAATACTCGCAAAAGTCTTAGATTTCATTCATACTGAAAATTTTAATAACATTTTTTAAACGTATTGAAATCTTCAAATTCCTTGAACAACCCTAACAGTTTCCAAGTTAAAGGAAACTTGCCAACTATAGTTCTCTTCTTTTTGCATTTTTCTCTACAAACGTTTATTTTTTTCTTTCGCTCCTCTCCGCTTGAATCTTTTTACTCTTGAAACGTGTACCCTTTACAGAAGTTGGCCGGCTATCTTTCTTAAGTTGACTGTTGAGAACAAGAAACGAATGGAGATTGTATTATCAATTAACATACTAAATAAATTATTATTAGTATAAAATGTTTTAAATATATGATAAGATAGTATAGATACAATCTATTAAATATTTAGTACAACTGTCGCAATATTTGTAGTAACATCTCACAAGCGACGTGAAGTTTGTTTTATACATAATGTTTGTATTTTACCTCAATGATAAATAAATCAATATAACAACGTTCTCTTAATGTTTTCACTACGACTGTTCATTTAAAATATTCAAATCATTTTAGTACCAACACCACTCCAATCATTTCCTTGTTCGTTGAAAACTCCTTAAGTTTTTATTTGACCACTGAAGCATTCGCGAGATAGCGCCGCGGTGAAAATTAAAAAAAGCATTGAGAGATAAAAAAAAATAATATAAAGTGTATACTAGAGAATTCCAGTCGGAATAAAACTTGAGCGGTGCTCGCGAACTTTTTATCGCTTTTTATATTATTGTTTTAATTTGATAACAAAATGGCGTATTAAATTCAATATGGCCGTCGCATACATTGAACTGAACGCCAATACGCATCGCCCGTCGCTGGTTGAATACTATTATATTTTTCCATGGCCACTGCCCACCCTTGAATAGTTGGGGTGAGATAGTTGGGGGGTAGTGCGTGACCCCCCCTCCTCCCTCCCCCCCCCCGCGACCCTCGCCCCCCCGGACCAGCGGGGGGCCTCGAACACCCCACCCACACCCGGGAGTATGCACTTACCGTGTGTGCACGCAAATTCATGCCCAATAATTTAAATTTCCGATAGCTACCCATTAATACATAATTAATGTTATGTAAATCACGCTTTGTTATATAAACTTATATTATAACGCTCGTATAAATATATTATTATAATATACTTTAATGACATGATAAGATTATCATTCTTTTGTTGTTTCCTTTACCATTAATGATAAGTCTATTCAGTAACATGAAACAATTTATATCTAATAAATACGAACAAATTATAATAACTGTCTCCACTTGAAGACGTCTCACGATCGAAATAACTCCAAGGATAAAGAAATAAAACACAATAATAAGAATATTTACGTAACCGTATTTATTTTTAGTGATTTATCTACAATTATAATACAAGATCCTTTATATCCGTTACCACCGATCCAATGCTACGGAATCAAAGACATTAAACAGATTGTCTATCCAAACAAAATGTACAGTTTAAGATATAGTTCTGAAAACAAGAATTCAACATACAAGTCAAAATGGCGAGTAAGATTGCGTTCCAAATTCAAAAATAAATCCGCAGCGCGCCGACGGCTGCTGCGTTTTAAAATCGACAAAGAATGTTTTTACGCTTATTTATTACGACCAGAGTAATAAATGTAACTCTATATGGAAAAAAAGTAAACAATTCCAAATTTAAAAATTTAATTCGAAAAATATTTAAAGTTTTTTTTTATTTTAAAATGTTTTGAATTTGGAATCTAATACAATTTATTGTTTTATTTTTTTATAACACGAGCCATGTTTTGTCTGGAATGCCAAACCTACGCTCAGTCAAAGGCAAGACATAGCGGGGAAGTACTTTTGTATGTAAATAGAATGCGTAGGCTTTAGGCCGCCTAGCTCTTGTGAGAGCCTAGATTTCGATATCAACAATTGTTACTTAAAATTAATTACCATTTTATTTATTATTCTAATGCCGTGCAGCTTTCGACATATTTACGAATCGGATTTAGCTAATGTTTATGTTAAAATTGTCTTATATAATATAAATAAGATAATAAATAACGGTAATAAATATTTTTAACACGACATACAAAACGTATAATTAAATTAATTCCATGTAACCAAGGGAATTTGCAAATTAATACCAATAAATACTACAATCTAAGTAGATACCATCCTTTGCGAACATCGTTCAAACTGTGCTAAGGCAAACGCCTTTCCCTTTACATTTATTCATAGAGAAATAACAAAAATATCCATAGACAACTCTCACCAGTGTACCTAGACCCCCCTCTCCCCTCTATCTCTCAATAGTGTCTATGGCGAGGGGTAGTGCCGAGCGAAATGAGGGGTCATCGTTGGCTGGTCGGTTTTACGCGTAGGTTGTATAGGTTGAAAAATGGCTGGTCGGCTACAATAGTATGGAGAACGGTGAACCCGGAAGAAAATCGCTTTGGACAAGATTAAATCTGTACTACGACTAGTTTTAGATAATATCCGGACCCGGCTGAGAAAATAATATTATATTACTCAACCATACGTTTACTAGGAACGGGACCAGGAATATAGAAACTTAATTAACAATATGAAACGAGTGAAAACTTATTAAAACATACACACACGGGGCATATAGTATAGACAAATAACCATTAGCCGTATGATATAAAGGAGCCAGTATTTAACATAAATATATAATACGGCCTTGTAAAATTTAGTGTCAATAAAACTTACAAGTTTTACGGTGGATTAGAAACATTCACTCACAATAAACGGTAATGACGTTATTGATGAATTATAATAATTTAATTGTACGAGTATATGAGACTCGAACATAAACTACAGATACGGTTCCGTTAATGCATTCAAATCATATATATATATGTATGTATGTATGTCATATTCATATATCGTTGGTGGCATCTAGGAAATAATTCTACAATATCTTTCTTAAATGTGTGCACGCGCATTCTTCTCAAACATGCAAAATACATACACACACACACATACAAAATAATGTAGTTGTATGTGTGCGTGCGTTCAATGCCCTATGCATTTGCTTGGTGAGGCTAAAAGTATGCGTTCGTTTTATTATGGACTTATTTTAAAAATGAGCTCGCTCTTGGGTTAGGTCGCGGTTCGTGCTACGTTTCGGTATATTCGGTGAATGGTCAGTTACACTACCGGCTACTTTTACCTACCTACCTTTACTTGTATTTTGGCGGTCAATGTGTCAATTGTCTGTTGTTATATTTACGTCTGCGACGTCAGAGGTGACCGAAATATATTATTAATGTTCGTATAACATATAAAATTGGTTAATTTTATTTATATATATTAATCTAAGCTTTATTTCCTAATTGGGTCACAACGGAACTCCATCGGTCCACGTTCAATGAACCATCCTTTAATGAGATCAAATTAAAACTGTGTGAGAGATACGATGTTATAGTTTTATATTATAGTAAAAAATATTTAATATATTATAATAATAACAAGAATACTAGAAGCGTGAGTATTAACATTATGAAAGCCAGACGTAATTTCTATTAAGTGCTCGAGTAGGAAGTGGCCAGTTAAAAAATCTGAACCAACTGGATGCTTAAAATATCATTAGTCAAGTATTATATTATAGTAATTTAAGTCACCATGAACACGCGACTTAATGGATTTTTTAATGGCATATATTATATGCAACTTGTAGCTCTTATTTACGGCGTGAGTATTGATTGTTTAGAACCTGTAATTCCTTTATTCCAGGGGAGCGTCCATATAAGTGTCATTTGCCTGATTGTGGCCGGGCCTTCATCCAGTTGTCGAACCTGCAACAGCATCTGAGGAACCATGACGCTCAGGTGGAGAGAGCAAAGAATAGACCATTCCATTGTAATATCTGTGGGAAAGGATTCGCTACTGAGAGCAGCTTGCGGACACATACAGCCAAGGTGAGCATCGAAGTACATGATCCATGATCAAAAAAAATGTTGACAGTTACATAAAAATAACCAAACTCTTTGAGCGATACCTTCTTAACGTTCAAGGTGTCTAAGCATGACATAAGTCCGATCAAGTGTGATTCATACGAAATGACTAATTTGCTACAGTATACCATTAAAACATTATCTAAATAAAGTGTACTCCTTCACAGATCGTTATAATAATGTCTACAATATACTTTATAATTTATCTACATATTCCGAGCACCATTTATTTGTATGTATGTATATATGGGGTGTTTTTTTTCGTTCGAATCAAAATTCCCTTTGGCCGTTATATTTTGTGTTCGATGTTTATTATGAGTTCTAAATTCCTTTTTGTTGTTGACATCATGATCCTAATCTTTGCACTGCTATGCCCGCATCGCCACCGCCCGGTGGAGCAGGAGCTTCAGCTGCACCTTGGTGTTTTGCAGCAACACGCAGCGCTCATGATAGGGGGCGCCACGGCCACCCCGTGCCCTATATGCCATAAAGTCGTTTTCGGGGGCGAAGCCCTAGTAGAACATATGAAGAACACGCATAAGGACCCCAACGCATCCGGTGTTGCGAGTAAGTTTCAGGCTGTTCGGCTTTATTGTGGGGTCTGAAAGGAATTCCATCTATTATATAGATATGGTTTCTTCATTGTGGTGTTACAAGTCTTAGATATAAGTTAGAATAAGTATCTTTTCTGTTATGAGTGTTGTTGTCATATTTGATGTCTTTTAAATATTCATGTATTAATTTTAATTGAAAGAGCTAAAGATTTAGCTCAAAGAACACTCTCACGGAAGGGAATTTAGTTTGTAAGGAGGGTTTCTGGAAGGCTATAAGTGCTTTGAAATACATAAAATTTTATTCCTTAACCAGATATTGTTTAGATATTGTTATTTTATGTGATGAAAGTCTTCCAGTTGACTCTAAGCCATCAGGGGTGTTGAAACCGAAAACGTATCGTTTCCATAGCTTAAGTTATCTATTATATAGTGTAAGTCCATCGTCCAATCAACTGTTATTGTTTCTCATACAACATTTTCAAAACATCTCTAAGTTCTAACATCAACCGTTCTTTGGACGGTGTTATTATCATAACAATATGTTTTGTTTACATCATTTCTGTGCTCCGTACTTTTACTGGCTTACTAACGTGTGGTTGTTTGTCCCCCCCCTCCCCCCACTCCTCGCCGGTGACTGGCAGGTCCGCCAGCCACGTCACCATATCCTAAACTGGACCCGTATGTAGCGAAGCGGCGTACGGCGAACCACCCGTGTCCCGTCTGCGGGAAGCACTACGTGAACGAGGGTTCGTTGAGGAAGCACCTCGCCTGCCACCCGGAGACACAGCTCACCAGCGGCCTGAGGATGTGGCCCTGCTCCGTGTGTCAGGCTGTGTTCACACATGAGAGTGGTGCGTATATACGAACACATTAGCTAGTAAAGACTCGCCTTAGATTAGTTCAGTTGAAGAAAATATAAGCCACCAAAGATGTTAATTAGAATTTTAAATGAAACTAATTTTTTTGATACTACGCGGTTTGTTTTGGTGAAAAAACTACATACTCCCGTCGTTTCGCCTACTTTTCATCAACCGTGATCACGGGCACACGAGATGTGGATGTCTGTCAGTTGGTCTTGTTATTTATTATCACCGATTATTATCGGTGGAATAGTTCAATAGTTATGATTGTATGAATGTAACAATATGTTACAACAGAATATAGTAATTGGATCATCTTATTCATTTGAGATAATTTGTATACATAAATAAAGAAGTTTGATTACTTTAATTATATGTTTATTAACTATGCTTATAAAAAAGCTTTTAGCTGTATTAGTATCCTAAGATGGGAAGGAAAATCTAGTTGTCTCAGTTGATTTTTTGTATATAAATTAAAAACCGATTATATATCGACTACACATACATTTTGACCAGGACAGGTAGGAAAAGATAAATCATTTGAAAGAAAAAAAATATTGCCATTTCCAGGTCTTCTATCCCATATGGAGCATATGCGGATGGAGCCTAAGCACCAATTCGCTGCTCAATACGTGCTATCACGAGCGGCCGCCGAACGACGGGAGAGAGACCTCATAGCCGCTGTATCATCTGCTGGAGGGTCCGGACTTCTAAACTTAGCACCTCCATCACCTGCACACTCCGACTCATCATCCAATGGAAGGCTCTCATCATCAGCTGGCTCCGACGCCGGGGCAGCTGTCAACAAACTATCAGACCTCCTCCGCGCCAACAACGGTCAATACGGAGACGAAAGGGTCGCGGCCATAGTAGCAGCAGCCGCCAACATGATGAGCCAACCAGGTGAGAGCAACAACGCTGTACAGGTAGCAGCCGCTAATCTAGTGTCCGCTATGAGACAACAACTGGCCAGGGAACCGCAGCAAGAAACACCGCCGCAGACTGAAGCGGCGCTCAGGATACAACAGGCTGAGGCGTTACTACGGAGTCAGGCGGAGGCTCTACGACTTGCGGTGTCACAGGCGGCCGCCGCGCATAACACAGAAACACCGAGCCCGTTGAGACACAACGGGGGATTCCCCCAACCTAACGACGCGAGTGGACAACTGTCGCCGGAACTGGTGGAGGCTTTCAGAATCGCGCAGGAACAGAGGTTGGAGCAAGCGTTACGACTACATGATCCAAGAATGTTGGGCTTTAATATACCATCACCGGTACAAGCGGCACAACAAGCTGTTGCCGCTCAAGCCCAAGCTGCTCAAGCTGCACAAGCTGCCCAAGCGGCCCAAGCAGCGCAGGCAGCACAGCAAGTCGTACAGCAACAACAAATTCAAGCTGCACAAGCCGCTCAAGCGGCACAAGCGGCCCAACAAGCAGCACAACAAGCTGTCCACCTCCAACAAAACCCACAACCATGAAAATTCAGTTATTACTAATCCGACGCGATTTCGTCACATAAATTAATATTAAAAAAAATATCTTAAAAATCCTAATTTCTATATATTTGGTGAACATTTAATTTTTTGGAACCGAGCGAATTGAAATCGCCTCTGGTTAGTGATTGATTTATTATAATTATAACTTTAATATTTTAATACGAACTTAAATTGTTTTATGTATCGACCGGATGGGATTATACGATAAAGTTACTAACTTAGATAGAACTAACTATTGTATATATGAAACGGAAATGAAACAAATTCTTATGTAAATAATACGAAAAAAAATATTATTATAATAATAATAATTAATACATTTAAAAAAATAGTTGAATGATAAAAAAAATGGAACAAAAACTCGCCCGAACAACTAATTATATGTAGACTTACTCGTAATTCAGTGCAATTCATTAAATATTTGTTTGGTTGTTTGTTTATTGAATATATATATTATTTTTTATTAGCTTTTATAGAACAATGTATTTTTTTAGCTTAGTTAACGTTTTTGGAAGTGCCAAACTCGCACGTTTTATCGCATACGGCGATATCTTTGCAATATTTATTTGCTAGTTATTATCTTATATAAAAGTTGACTATTTTCATGCAATAACAAGTCTCATGCTAGTCAAGCTCTAACGCACAAGCTCTTTAAAAGATATCCAAATTTTTTTACTTTATTTTTTTCATATATCTGAGTTTTTTCTTGGCTTATATATTTTATTCTAATGCCATATTAGTTGTAACTGTAAATATAGCTGTTAGATGTTGATATATTATTTTTTTGTTTAGAAGAGTCGAAAAAAAATAACAAGTTATTTTTATTATTATACGGTTATTATTTTGATGATGAAAAAAAAATAACAAATTATTTACAAAATATTTTTCATTTATTTTCTTTTTTTTGTATATTTGTAGATATATAATCGAATTATGTTTTTTCAGAAGACTGCCGTTATATTTTTTTTATGTAAATAAGCATGATTGTTTATTGATAAATAAAAATAGCGATTATTCACTGATTCGACGCTTCCGTCGTCCGACGACTACCGGTAATGACTCGTCGAATAATATTACCGTGTTCGACGAAAAAGTTTTTTGTCTTGAATGGACACAGAATAAACACGAGACATTCTTTCAAACACGGACTTAAACATAGCCCAATATTTATTTTAGTTTAACATTGACAGATGAACAATAGCCCGAAATCATTTTTTACAATGATTATATAATATGCACTATGCTTTAATCAAGTTGCCCGAACAATAGATTTATATTTCACATACAGAGTCGATACTCCGACGTTACTAATAAGAATGTCAAGTGTTGCCGAATATTAATTCTTTTAATATTATCACCGTATATTGTAATTAAGTGTCGCTCCGTACGTAGAGCCGGCTCACACTACGGACCGGCTCGCACTACGGACGGATCATAAATACATATAATCGTAAACTAGGTAAGGTAAAGTAAGCTGATTTAATGTACGTAATTATTTCATTCTTGAATTAATATTGGTGTCTCTGTGACGGTAATCATTCGATTACCGCCGGCGAGATGTCAATGTACATAACGAAAAAAAAATAACAATGCAATAGCCCAAAACACGTTTTTATTATTGAATTAGTGACGTTTTGGTTAAGAAATAATGATTTGATAATGGTTTCATGTTAGTTAATTTAATTTGATGAAATACAAAAAGTTTCGGCCATTTTTATATATTATTTGGAATGCGATGGACAGTTTGTCGATGATATAGTTTCTGGGAAACGTTTATGTATATTTGGACACGCATTTGGACTGAATATATTATATACAAAAAATTATTATAATAATACGAACACAATAACAAAAGAAGTGAACGGATCGCTATTTATGTAAAGAAATCCTCATAAATTTTAATATATAAATAAATTTAATATAACAACAGAAAAAGTTCCTATGTATAAATGGTATTGTTTTAAATTTAGGTCGTAGAAGATGGAAAATAATAATAATAATAAAAAAAAATTATGATCGTTCGGTATTTTTAAAGTTATAAATAAATCCATCGTTTAAGGAACTAACTCGTTAGAGTTGTACAAAATAAGAAGCACGGATCAAGTATCCTACACATATAGATATTTAGAGAAAATGATTACGTTCCCAAGAAAGTGTTCAAAAGACATTCAGCTACGTTTTTGTGGATCATTTAAACACGATATTTGTTACGAAAAATAAAACAAATACAAGTATTTTCGAGATAATGAAATTTTAATATTAGATAAGGTTTTTGATTATTACAAAAAAAAAACTAGTGATTATATATATATGTATAAAAAAAATGAATTCACAAAAATGTAGACAGAAGGTATTTTCTGTGATCATCGAAATGGAATAGTCTTTATATAACATCGTGTCTGAGAATCGTCAGAGGTTATTCTTAAGTTTTGGAAGGTTACATTTTTTAATGTTAAAAAAAAATTATAATAATAAAATATGAAAACAGAAAATTTTTTCTACATTTATTTTACGATGAAAATTCCATAGTTAAGCTGTGTACATTTAACTATATGAAGCCTAATTAAATATTAAACGAAAGGTTAAATCTATCGGTTACTGAACCGTTTAAATTTCATCTTTCGTGTAGTAACAATAGTACTGGTTTCTGTTACGCCACACCGTATTACGGTCTCACGGTACGCGCTGTTGGGAGGTTCTATCACGTGAATGGATATGACGTCATATGTTGTAGTTTACTTGGCATTTAATGTTCTATATTAATTGTTTTATGTTATGTTGTTAGGGGAATAAGTTGAACATACATACATACATGTAAACAACAGTGATGACATCAAATATTTCGGTACCGGTTTTTTATTATACGATAAAATATATACAGATGAAATTTAATATAAATTATACATTTTTACATCACTATTGTTTATATGGTATTAAAAAAAATTGGGAAAATTAAACGAGCGAGGTAATATTATTACCATCAAATATAATGACAATAAATGGATTAATGGAAAATTTTCTACTCGCTCTAAACTTGAGATTACATTACATTTCTTATTTTAACATAATGTTCACAATGTTACAGCTTAATGTTAATTCCTAACATTAACAATGTTGTGTGACGTCATGTTACACTGTTAAGTTTTTAACAATGAATTGCTGTTGATTTGATTACTCATCCTTATTGAGAGTTGTTGTTTACTTTGAACGCTTCATTATTACGTTAAAGTTATTTTTTATATTAACGAACTATTTAGTAAAATATACTTACATGTTTATCAAGTAATATAATCTTAGTCAGGATAGCCAGGTTTTCATTGTACCACATACATAGTAGTAATTTCTTGTATCTCATATTAATATTAAGTATAATTAATGTAATGTAATTCGGGGCTCTTTTATAAAATTATTATGGCGGTATATTTTTATAAAGGGGCCCGCGGCCTCGGTCTCGCGGACCGGGTCGCGGTATCAGTGTAGTGAACAACGAAAAATCATATAAATACAAAAAAATACTCCGTGTACTTTAAACTTAAATGTAATAGAATATTGGTGTTTAATGAGTCATCCAGCCGTCATATCCATTTGGGAATAGTTACCGTGATTTGATTACCGAAATAATATGTATTACGGAAAAAAATATTACGTTCGACTGTTGACAAAAAATATTTAATAAAAAAATAACATGGACGACAATACGTTTAATATTGATTGAATTTATGAATGAAAAATTATTTAATATTTTTAATGTTGTCTGTGTTTTAATATAAATTCCACCAACAGCGTATTACCTTGTGTTTGTAAAGCATCGCCTCGGTAATGTCACAGAGCATTCACGTTGTTCAAGCACAGACGAACTAAATTATATCCTCCTTATACATACATGATCGAAATTAATTACGTGCTGTGCTTGTACTTTGTGTCCAAAAATTATACATTTTATTAGAAACCTATTTTATTATAAAATTCATTGTTTGTTTTTTTCAAATCGGTGTATTCTAGTCTTATTTTTATTAAATTCTCGTTCAAAATGTCGTGTATGAAACAGTATTGGAGACGAGTCGAGAACACTTTCGTATGATGTAAATTGTGAAAAAAAAAAATTAATTGTAAAATTCAAAATTAAGATGCTACCTATATTTCGGAATAAGATTGTAAAGTTGCAAAAAAAATTGTTTAGAAATTAGATTAAATTAGGTAGAAGTGGAAAAAAAAACATGTTTGGCGTATTAAAATAATAATTAATGAAATTAACAAGAAGTAATGTAAATAATGTTTATGCGTGTCATGTGAGGGTAAAGTAACTGTACCTTAGCGATGTTAGCCGACCTTAGCTCACTCAATACTATACACAAATGAATACTGAAGGAATGTCGACAGAACTCCACGACACTCACCCCCAAAATTACTTTGTATTTTTGTATAGTTAAGTATTTTATTAGTTATGTTATAGTAATTATTATTTTTTTTTGCGATGCCATGTTTTAATTATATTAAGCCGCAATGTGTTTATTAAATATTATATTTTTATAGAGGTTATTTTATATTTTTTGTACTCGTAGTAGTCACTCTTCAAACTTGGAACTCTGTATTTAATAGTTAAGTTTTAGTGTTGAGTTATGTTATAATATATTATAATTTACTATTTAATGAACAAAACTTAACCCATTACATTTATGTTAAATATTATTTTTAACAACGGAAAATGCTTACTGTGTCATTAAAATGAGAATAGTAATTATTATTGCCGAAACGGTTAGCTATAATTATTTTAAAAAATAAAACGATGATTCATATCAGTGTTTTTCTTTAAGCTCCCAATGTTTCTCACAAACACAAACTATTTATAAAATTAGGATCAATACGAAATTGCCCTGAGCGCCATCTGTTGACGAGTAGATTAATTTTCTAACATTAATTAACTTTTGATATTTTTTCAATATTACACCAAAACATAAAATACTTTAATCGAAATAATACCT